ATAATACATATTACAATATACATATATATATATATATATATATATATATATATATATATATATATATATACACACGCGTAAACCTCCACTTTAAGGCTAGCACCCCCTTGCCCTTCACCTCCACCCCCACTCCCCCACCACCACCCCAAACCCACCCTACCATCACCCTACCCCCCCAACCCAACCCAACCCGCCCGGCCCCAAACCCACTACCGCCACCCCCTCCTACCCCCCCCCCCGCCGCCCCTCCTTATCTCCTGGGAAATCTCAAGCCGAGAGCCAAGGAAGAGCGCGGAAGTGAGGCGTAGGAGGAAGAGAGGAGAAGGAAGATAAGGAAGGAGATGGAAGAATAAGAGTAGGAGGAAGAAGGGGGAGAAGAGAGAGGGAAGAGGAAAGGGGTAAAAAGGTGTTGGGAAGAGGGCAAGAAGATGAAAGAGAACTGAAAAGGAATGAGGAAGAGAGGAGAAAGGATAACAGATTGAAAAGAAAGACAAAGAAGTTAAAAATGAAAAAAATGGATGATTAAGAGAGTGAGTGAGAGAGAGACAGGAGAGGTAGAGAGGGAGATGGACAGAGAATGAAGGAGAAAGAGAGGGAGATGTAGAGAGAGAGAGAAGATGAGAGAGAGAGAGAGAGAGAGAGAGAGAGAGAGAGAGAGAGAGAGAGAGAGAGAGAGAGGAAAAAGGGAAGGAAAAGACCGAAGAAAGGTAAAAAATAATTTTTTTTCTAATAAAATAAAAACGTGAGTGAAAAAGAAACGAAAAAAAGCCTCGAAACCAAAAATCCCCCACCCGAATCCCCCCACCCCACCCCCCCTTTTGGTCGCCCGTCCGTCGCCCACCCCGTAAATCAACACCCGGGCGATAATCCCAGACGACGGCCCTGTTAATTGTCCAGTTGGCTCGTTAATCTGGAGTCCAGGGCCCCGTTAGCTCGTTACGGGCGGGGGCATAATGGCTGGTTAGGGAGGAGATTAGGTAGCGAGGGAGGGAGGGAGGAGGGGGGGTGGGGGAGGGAGAGGTGGAGGGAGAGAGAGGGAGGAGGGAGGGGGGAGAGGATGGAGGAGGTGGTTGGGGAGGGAGGGAGAGGTAGTTGGGTGGGGAGAGGGAGGGGGAGGGAGGAGGGAGGCAGGGAGGGATGGAGGAGGGGTTGGGAGGAGGAGGGAGAGGGATTTTGGTGGGGGGGAGAGGGAGAGTGAGGAATGGGGGAGAGAGGAAAGATAGGGAGAGAGAGGCAGAGTGGAGAGAGAGAGAGAGAGAGAGAAAACAAGAGAGAGAGAGAAAAGAAATAAACAGAGAGAGAGAGAGGAAGAGAAACAGAAACAAAGTGGAGAAAGAGAGAGAAGAAAAAACAAACAAACAAACAGAGAGAGAGAGAGAGAGAGGAAGAGAAACAGAAACAAAGTGAGAGAGAGAGAAAGAAAAGAAAGAAAGAAACAAAGAGAGAGAGAGAGAGAGAAACGAGAAAGGAGGAAGATTATTTCCGGACCCAAGTGTCCATCCTTCAAGGGGAAGAGTCTGGAGAAAGAAGAAAGGAAATAGAGGAGGAAGAAGAAGAGGAAGAGGAAAATGAAGAAGAGGAGGAGGAAAATGAAGAATAGGAGAAGGGGAAAGAAGAATAGGAGAAGGGGGAAGAAGAAGAGGAGGAAAATGGAAGGAAGAGAGGAGAAGGGGGAAGAAGAAGAGGAGGAAAATGAAGGAGAAGAGGAGGAAGGAGAAGAGGAAGAAAAAGAGAAGGTGGAAGAAGAAAATAAAGAAAGAGGGAGATGGGGAAAGTCTAGTAGATGGACGAAGAACGGGAAGAGAAGAAAAATGAAGGGAAAATGGCAGAAGATGGCGAAAAGAAGTAGGAAGAGAGACGTAAAAACTGACCAAGTAGAAAGAGAAAGGGAGCAAGGAAGTGGAAAGAATGATAGAATATGGAAAGAAGTGCAGATGGAGAAACAAGAAATCTGATAAAGAAATAAAGAATTTAGAATTTAGAAAATAATAAATTCATCATCACCATCATCATCATCACCATCACCACCACCATCATCACCATCATCATCATCACCACCATCATCACCATCATCATTCACAGAAGGACATCATAAAAACGTAATATATTCATGTTTATATTAATAACATTTAATAGAGCTATAATAGTTATAGTTAAGCTGTTTGTACAAGAAAATACCTTTAAATTGAATCAGAGTGAACCAATTTCTAAGGTAATTAATCATGATTAGATATTTGCCCTCATACTTCGATTAAAATATTATGAGGACCACATGTATCTAACCTCATGAAAGGAATAAATAAAACCAATTTTCAAAAACTCACAATATCCGACCTTATGCTTGGAATAAGAGAGTGCAAACCACGTGATCTCTGACGTCACGCATCAAAACATTACAGCATGAAAACCGCTTATAAGGATATTGGGTCTTCCTGGCCTCATACTTGGATCTATAGCTATGAGGACCACATGTATTGGACCTCATAGTTGTGTGGTTCATATTGCCTTCAGAATATTATCACCCGGATATTACGTAAGGTTGCAATATTGCAGTTATAATGATGCATAAAATTATCAATCATTGCAGGTAAGCACACTGTTGGTTGGAATATTAACGGGGTTGTGTCTTTTCCCAGGGCCGCCTCGTTAACTCTGTGGCCGACATAATTAAGAAGTTGCATCACTTCTCGTAAATTGCTTTTTTTCGGACTATGTGGTTGGGTCGGTGTAGGTGGGGGTCGCTTGGGTTAGTTGGGGGTCGCTTGAGTTAGGTGGGGGTCGTTTGAGTAGGTGGGGGTCATTTGAGTGTAGGTGGGGTCATTTGAGTTAGGTGGGGTCATATTTAGATGGGTGTCCTTTGGTGGGGTGGTAGGGTGGAGTGACTTTGATTAGCTGGGGTCACTTTGATAAGGGGGGTCGCTTTAATAAGATGGGGTCACTTGGACAAGTTGGGTTACTTAATCATTATGGGGGTTACTTAGACAAATGTGGGATCACTTGGACAAGTGGGGGTCACTTGCAGAAGTGGGGGTCACTTGTGGGTCACTTGGACAAGGTAAGGTCACCCAAATAAGCTGGGGTCGATCCAGGAAAGATATAGTCACGCGGGTCAAGTTGGGGGTCACTTTTAAGGTGGGGTCACGCAGGTCAAGTAGACTCACTCACGTAAAGAAGGGGGTGGGGGATGGGGAGTTTGGTGAAGTAGAGTCCTCTGCATAAGGGGTCTCGGGTAAGTATGAGGGGGGGGGGTTGCATGGGGTCACTCCGAATAAGTATGAGGATGAGTCAAGGGATTCGAACTGGAGTCACTCAACGTATGAGGTATGAGGTATGTAGGCTTCGGCAGGGTCACTCGAGAAAGTATGAGGTAATGAGGGGTCACTCAACCTAAGTATGAGGTATGAGGCAGGGTCACTCAGCAAGTCAGGGTCACTCAACCAAGTATGAGGTATGAGGTGAGGCAGGGTCACTCAACCTAAGTATGAGGTATGAGATCGGGGATGAAGGGGGGGAAGTGGGGTCGCTAGGGGAGGGAAGGGGGGGGTCATAGGATGGTCAGGGGGTCGTTCCTGCGAGTCTAATGAAGGCCGCTTGGGGTCTGATGAATGGGATGAGGCGAGAATTATTCATCAGGCCGAGAAGGATGACGCAGGAAGTATGAATCCTCCTCCTCCTTGTCCCTCCTCTTCCTCTTCTCTCTTCTTTCTCCTTCCTTCTTCTCTTCTTTCTTCTCTTTCTTCTCCTTCTTCTTTTCTCCCTTCTTCCTCCCTTTCTTTTTCCTTCTCCCCTCTTCTTTTTCTTCTTTCTCCTCTCTTCTCTTCCTCCTCTTCTTTTCTTCTTCTTCTTTCTTCTTTTCTCCTTCTTCCCTCTTTTTCTCCTTTCTTCTTCTCCTCTTCTTCCTCCTTCTCTTCCTCTTCTTTTCTCCTTCTTCCTCTTCTTCTTTTTCTCTTCTTCCCTCCTTCTCTTCTTCCTCCTTCTCTCTTTTTTTCCTCCTTCTTCCTCCTCTTTCTTTTCTCCTTCTTTCCTCCTCTTCTTTTCTCCTTCTTCCCTCCTCTTCTTTTCTCCTTCTTCCTCTCTTTTCTCCTTCTCCTCTCTTCTTTTCTCCTTCTTCCTCCTCTCTCTTCTCCTTCTTCCTCCTTTCTTTTACTTCTCCTTCCCCTTTCTTCTAATTCTTCCTTTTTTAGTTTCTTTTCATTAGGTGTGGAAAGGGAGAGGGAAGAGAGGGAGATAGAGAGGAATGTAAGGGGGGAGAGAGAGGAAAGAGGAGGTGAAAGGTTAAGGGGGAGGGGGGAGCGAAGGAGGGAGAGAGAGGTGGAAATTAAGGGGGGAGGGAGAGGGAAGAGAAAGGGAGAGAGAGGGAAAAGGTAAGGGGGAGGGAGATAGAAAAGGAAGGAAGGGAGAGAGTGGGAAAGGTAAGCTGGGAAGGGAGAGATAAGAAAGGGGGAAAGATGGACAAGTAAGGTGGAAAAAGAAGAGGGAAGAGAGAAGGGAGGATAAAGGGAATGGATGGAAGGTAAGAGGAAAGAAAGGGATGGAGAGGAAGTGGAGAGGAAGAAGAACAGAGATAGGAAAAGGTAAGAGGGAGGGGATAGAAGGCTAAGGTAGAAAGAGGAGAGAACAGAGAGGAGAGAGAGAGAGGTAAGGAGAAGAGGAGAGACAGAGAGAAAGAGAGAGAGAGAGGGGGTAAGGGAGAAGAGGAGAGAACAGAGAGAGAAGAGAAAGGTAAAGGGAGAAGAGGAGAAGCAGAAGGAGAGAGAGAGAGAGAAAGGTAAGGAGAAGAGGATGAAGAGATAATATGAAGAGGGGAGATAGCAAAGAGGGAAAGTAAAGGAGAATGGGATAGGGCAGAGAGAGGAAAAGAAAGAGTGAAAAAAATGGATAAGAAAGACTCAATGAGAACAGAAAGAAAGAGATGAAGAGGGAGAAAAGGGAAGATTGGTAAATTATGACAAATAAAAAGGAGAGGGGAAAGAATAAGAGACAAGAGAGAGGAAGTAAAATTGGAAAAGGAGAAGAAAGAGAGAGAGAGGAGAAGAGAGAGAGAGATTAGAGAGAGAGAAAGGAGAGAGAGAGAGACGAAAGAAGAGAGGAAGAGAAAGAAAGAGAAAGAGAAAGATAGATAGAGAAAGAGAGAGAGAGAGTGAAGAGACAGCCTAGATTGCGTGCGGTGGCCAATTTGCATTCGCCGCCCGTGTCACACTCCGCCCGCAATGTGCACTGGTCTTTGGTCACAGAAATTATCGGCGCTGCATGTTAATTTCGCCGGAGAGGGTTCGCGGCCTTGGTAACCCTGCGCGGTGTGTGGGATCTGTATGGCTGAGTTTACGTGGAGATGCACATGTGTGTTCGTTTTGTGTGTGGGTATGTGTGTGTGTGTGTGCACAAACAAAAACGCACATGCGCACACATACATCGCACACATACAGACACACATACACACACACACCTATCTACCCACATACACAATACCTACACACATACACCACCTACACAACACACACCTTACCTACCACACCACACTTACAACTACACACACACACTACCTACACAACACACACACCTAACACACACACCACACCATAACCTACACACCCCCACACATACCTACACACCCCACACCACACCTACCACCCCCAACCACACCTACCTACACCCCCACACCTCCACTTACCTACCTTACACCCCCCACACCCTCCCACACACCTACCTACACCCCCACACCCACACACACCTACACCCACATACACAAACCTAACCCACACACACACCACACCACCCCCCACACACAACACACACACCTACACCCACACTCACATCTACCTACACCCCCCACCCCACACCTCACTCCTACACCCAACCACACTCACAACCTACACCCCCCACCCCACACTCACACCTACACCCCCCACCCCACACTCACACCTACACCCCCACCCCACACTCACACCTACACCCCCACACACTAACTACACCCCCCACAACACACTACCTACACCTTACACACCCCCACACCTACACCCCCCCACACACACATACACCCCCCCCCACACAACATACACCCCCCACCACACACATACACCTACACCACCCCCACACACACCTACCTACACCCCCCCCCACACACACCACCTACACACCCACACACACCTATACCCCCCACACACACACACACCTACACCCCCCACAAACACACACCACCTACACACCTACCTACACCACACATACCTACATCCACCCCACAACACCTTCCTACCACACCTTACCTACACCCCCATCACCCCACCACACCACATCACCTTCCCTACACCCCCACACAACCACACCTTCCCCACACACCTACAGACACCCCACACACCTCCCAACACCTACCACCACCACACACACCTACCTACACACCCACACACTTCCCTACACACACCCACCACACTACACACACACACACACACCACCTACACCCCCCACACCCGCACACACCTTACCACACCTACACCCCCCCACACACACACCCACACTCCACCCACATCCTACCTGCCACACACACCTACTTACACACACCCACACACACACACCCCCCACACACACCTTTACCACACCTACACACATTCATAAATACATCTCTCTCTCTCCTTCTTCTGTAAAACAACGATCAATCGCAGTGAAGGGAGGGAGGTTCCTCTCTGAGCTATTGTGGAGTGGTAATCTAGATCCGTAATTGGCCATTGTCTGAGGAGATAGACGATGAGTGAAAGAGAGTGGGGTAGAGAGAGGAGTGGTGAGAAGTGGGAGAGGAGAGAGGGAGAGGGAGAGGGAGTGGGAGAAGAGAGAGAGAGGGAAGGAGAGAGAGGAGTGGTAGAGAGAGAGAAGGAGAGGAGAGAAGAGAAGAGAGAGTGGGGAGAGAGAGGAAGTGGGAGAAGAGAGAGAGAGAGAAGGAGAGGAGTGGGGAGAGAGAGAGAGAGAGGGGGGAAGGAGAGGAGTGGGAGAAGAGAGAGGAGTGGAAGAAGAGAGAGGAGTGGGGAAGAGAGAGAGAGAGAGAGGGAAGGAAGGGAGAGAGTGGGGAAAGAGAGAGAGAGAAAGAGAAGGAAGGAGAGGAGTGGGAGAAGAGAGATATGATATGGAAGAAAAGAGAGAGAGAAGAGAAGAGAGAGAGGGAAGAAGAAGAGAGAGAGGGATCGAGAGGAGTTAGAGAAGAGAGAGAGAAATGGAAGGAGAGGAGGTGGAAAGAGATAACAGAGGGTGGAGAAGAGAGGGGGAACGAAAGGAGTGGGAGAAGAAAGAGAGAGGGGGAAGGCAAAGAATGGGAGAAGAGAGAGAGTTAGGGGGTCAGAGGGAAAGAGAGATGGGAAAGTGGAGAAGAGGGGAAGGGGAGAAGTGAAACGGGGTCATAGCGAGGGAGAGAAAGGTGAACGAAAGAGAGAAAGAAAAAAGCTATATGAAAAAGAGGCGATGAAGGAGGAGAAGAAGGGAGAGAACAATAGAGAGCAAAACTATAAACGGAAGAAA